TAGTTCCTGGGCGCCAAGTCCCGTGACAGGCTCCTCATGTCCATGATGACGCGATTGCCACCGTAAGGGCCCGAGAAATAGGGCAGAGGTGAGGTCGCTCGTGCGTGGTCACCCAGCAAGAGTGACAGGCGCTGCAAAAGCAGGTCTTTGCTTCCCCGTTGTGATGCAAGAGGTTCTGCCAGGAAAATATCCCGGCTGGCTTCCCCCATCACTGTGGCCTCGCTCCTGCAGCCGGGGAGCGCCCCGGGGTCCCCGAGGCCCGGGCCGACGGTCCTGGTCGGAATCCTCACAAGCACCTTCACGTCAGAGGAAAGGTTTCCCAGGATCCTCTTGGGGAGCCCGTTATGTTACCCCAGGGCCGCACAGAGCCCTTTTTCCTCGGCTCTCTAAATAAGACTCAGAAGGAAATTGCCAGAAATGAGAAAATCATCAGTAATGTTGCTATTTTATGCAAAAGCTCGATGGTGCTGTGTGTGTGTGTGGGTGGGTGGGTGGGTGTGCACACGCGTGCACACGTAAGCACTTGCTGCATGGCTTTCCTAGTTATATAAACGTCCGGACTTTTGGTTACTAGAGATGGAGGTAATGGAGGTTGAGTGTTCTGCAAAGCCTTTTTTGTCCCTGGGAACGGAAGCACATTTGGGATTTTTTTCATGAGGGAGAAATTCGTATGCCATCTGGGAAAATCCCTCTCCCGTTCATCACACCAAGTAGGAGACTGGCAAAAAAAAGTCAAGGCGAAGTGGGTTTTAGGTTAATTGACCTCGCGGAGAGAGAACAGCTCCCTCAGCCGCTGGGAACACCAGCTTCTGCCGGCAAGAGGTTTCATCATTTCTGAGCTGCAAGGGAAGGTACTCAAATGCCGGCCATTTCAAGCCCATTTTCAATTATAGGGCCAAGGAATTTAGGACATTGATCAAGAAGTGAAAAAAAAAAAAAGAAGAAGAAGAAGAAGAAGGAAGCCATTGTGGCGTAATACTCTGCCAACCACAAGGCCAACTCCAGGTGCTAGAGCAACAGCCGGGGCCATTTGTCAGCCTGCGAGTGTCATGTGAGGATGAAGGGCAGGTGGAGAGGGAGAGGAGCTGACTGTTTGGGCTTCATTCGTCTTGATGGATTACAACATTCAAGAAGGAAAGCTTTTCCTTCATCGCTTCACACTTCTTGGAAACCGGAAGCGGTCTGAAGATGGCACGGTATTTGAGCCACACTTTTGTGTGGCTTTGTGCTTGCTGTTCCTTGTCTTAGCTCCCAGGGACCAAGTGAGTGAGCCACCGCCTTGTGTGGCTGAGGGACCTGCCGCTTGGCCCCTGGAGCCCTGCGGGGTGGGGAGCAGGTGGGCACGAGAGGCGCAGGTGGGCAGGCCCCTGTTAGCCCCCAGAAGCCCGGGCGCAAGCTGGGCCACCCCCAGCCTCCCGCGTCTCTGAAAGGGGCTCTGGGTTTTGGGGGTGTTGAGCCTCTGTGCAGAGTGGTCCCGGTGCCAAGAGAGGAGCTGGGGCTTCACTGTGGGTCCGGCTCTGCCTCTCTCCAGCCACGAGCTTGGGCCTCCGCCCCCTGTCTGTGAGAACCCCCATCCCCAGAGGGCAGGTGGATGTATCAGGGGGCAGGTGGACGTACCCATACTTGGTAAACTGTGAAGTGCTGAACAGGTGTTGTTAAAGTCACATGGGGAAGGGAGTTGGTTCTAGAAAGGCAGGAACACCATTCCAAATGTCTGGGCTCCACCCTAAACCAGTCCTAGCACTCGCCCCCACAAGCATCTACATTCACGTGGGGATTGCCTACTCTGAGCTCACCCACCCCACGCGGACACGGGCGGCTACAGAGCTGAAGAGAAGGCTCCACACCTCAGACAGGAGCCATGGCGAGCATCATCCAGCCCGGCAGGCCTTAGTCTCTGAGGCTGAACAAGAGGGGATGCCGACGGGGCGGCATAGCCCAGACCTGAGCCCAGGACAAAGGGACAAAGGACAAAGGAAAGACGGCCCAGGGTCAAAGGATCCATTGTCTGCTTGGGGTCATGGGGCAGCTGCGGTGCCCCGGGGAGCCAACAAGCCAGCTGGGGGCACGGAGGGGTTCAGTGAATCCCTTGGCAGGGTTTAAAAGTCCATGAATCTTAAGGGTACGCACAGGCTCGGGGTGGGGGGGAAGCACTGTAACACCACTCCTCCCCTGGGACTCGCTGAACATTTACTTCAACCAGCACCTGCTGGACCCCCTACTCCACGCTCGAGGGGCCGGCGTGAATCCAGCACCTGCCTGACCTGGAAGAACTCGCAGCTTGGTGGGAGGGAGCACTGTGATGCCACAGGGCAAGCATGATGACAGAACTTTCCAGATTCTCCCGAGTAGATGGAGGGAACAGTTCATCCTGCTGGGGGGATTGCAGTGGGACATTTGAGCTGGACCTTGAAGATGAGTGTCCATTGGACGGAGGGAGGCCCTCCAGGCATAGGGAACAGTATGCACGAAGGTGGGAGAGCCCGGAGCAGGTCCTCATCCTGGGACCCGCCACGGTGGCAGGAGACCAGCACACTCTCTTCCTGAGGGGCAGCAACAGACAGCGAGTGCCCTGGGAGCGGGGTGGCAGGGGACAGGGGCCAAGGCTGCCCCCCTGACGTGTGTGGGCCAGGATGGAAAGGAAGAAGGGGCTGGATTATGAGCGGCCTTGAACGTTGGGTTAAGGGGCGTGGGCTTTATCTGGACAGAGCTGACGGCTGATTGAATTAGGGGATCGTGTGGGCAGCTCTGTGATTCTCTGAATTCTTTCTGGGCCACTGGGGATGGAGGATGGAGGACGAGTTGAGGGGGAGGAGTGGCAGGAGGTGATGAAGTCCGAGCTAGGGAGAGTGGACAGGGACCCACGGGAGAAACAAGAGGGCACTTGTTTGGGGATGGAGGCTTCTGTCTCCAGGACGCTCTGCCTCCGCACATGGGGAGGGGCCCGTCAGGCGATGCTTGGAACAGCTGCACGGGATCCAACGTGCCTTTGTAAGCCCCTCCAGCAGCTCCGGACTGGCCAGGCTGTGTGGACGGCGCTCCTGCTGGGACAGCAGAGAAGCACATCTCCTAGGAGCCTGGAGGGAGGGGAGCAGGACGGCTAGCATGGGAGAGGGAGGAGGCTGACCAGGGCACCTGCAGCAGCAAGGCAGGCATGGCCCCGTGGTGTCCCCAAGCTGAGACAGGCGGAACCTGATCTTCTCCATTCACTGAACTCAACCCACTCTGGAGTGCCGGCCCTTCAGGGACTTTGGCTGGACTGTGTGTGTGTGTGTGTGTGTGTGTATCGGCAGGAGGGGGAGGAAGGGGGACAAGGGGAGAAGAGGCCAGGGGTAGATCCTGAGGGCCGTATCCCAGAAATGGGGTGACACAGGGCAAAGCACAGGGGGCTCAGCTTCTCGCGGGGCATCTCTGGACCCCAGCTCCCTGGCTCCCGGTTCCTCTCTTCTAGGAGAAAGGGAACGTCTGTCTTTGCTCTCACTTCAGCTGCACCCTGCAGCACGAGCGGCCAGCTACCCAAGGGGGGCTTCCCCTGGGCCCCAAGGAGGTGGGGGAAGTCTATCACTCACCCTGATAAGGAAGCAGCTGCTAATTCTTCCTGCTCAGCAGCATTGAGAAAAAAGGGCCTGTCTGTCACTTACTGGCCTCATTTCCAACACTCACCATGGGGTGCAGGGCTCATTCGGGCCCTGGCACAGAGCAGGGGTTCCTTCGAGACAGTGACCTGGAGGGCTGGGCAGAGCCACCTGCCCTCAGATGACATGCAAAGGTAGGGGGACAGGACATTCCTCACCATGAGAACTGGCATTTTCAAATCACCCCAAACCACGTGGCTCGAATTCAACTTATTGACACCCCCCCTGCAAAATCCAATGTGCTTTGTCGATTTTGGAGCTGAAAACTGCACTCCATGTTGGCAAGCGAACGCTTTCTGAAAACAAAATCAGAGCTTTGTTAAAAAGACTCTGTGCAGCTCCCAGTTGCTAACAAGTGTGAGAGACATGTTTACTTGGGTCTTTCATCGTGAAGCCCATTTGCTCCAGCAACAACAGGGACTGAGGAATGGGTCTGGGGTCGTCCAAGATGGTTTCTCTCGCAGCAGACCTCTTAGGAACACTGATTGTCCTGGCCCAGGCCACCAGACTGCAGGAGAGGGGCAGGGCCCTGGGGGACCCCGGGGCGGGGGCGGTTGGAGCTAGAGTCACACTCACCGGGGCACATAAAGGAAATGGGGCTCAGGGGCGCCTGGGTGGCTCAGTCGGTTAAGCGACTGCCTTCGGCTCAGGTCATGATCCTGGAGTCCCGGGATCAAGTCTCGCATCGGGCTCCCTGCTCAGCAGGCGGTCTGCTTCTCCCTCTGACCCTCCCCCCTCTCATGTGCTCTCTCTCTCTCATTCTCTCTGTCTCAAATAAATAAATAAAATCTTTAAAAAAAAAAAAAGGAAATGGGGCTCTGGGGTCGACCAACAGAACTGGACCAAGTCTGACGCTACCAGGTCACCCCCCGACCCCCGGACGTTTCTTTTCCCATCTGAAAATGGGAACAGCATTAGGAAACGACCCAGGGGGACAGGGGAATCAAGCTGACGATTGTCCCTGTGCAGCCTCCTCCTGCCCCTCCTGTCTTTGGCCGCCTGTCCTGCTGTTTGGCAAAACAAAGTCATTACAGGTGGCTCTTGTCGCCAAACAGCCCAGAGTGAGCTCTGCAGGGCTTGGTTTTCCAAAATGCCGCCTTTGGTGGCCTCTGAGTCTCCCTCTCTGAGAAGAGCTTGGCCTGGGGACACAGATGGAGACAAGGAAAGGGTCTTGTGGAAGGGAGAGCGTGGGCCCTCCTTTCCCTCACGCCACGCCTGCCACTTGAGCTTCAGACCTCATGCTCCTGCTCACAATGGCCCTCCCCAGGGTCTTCTGTCCTCCCCGCTGAAGCCCCTCCGCCCACCCAGGGGCCCCTGGCAGTGCCTGCCACCCCCCCTGCTGGCCACGAAGTGGCGCCCTATCTGTGGAGGGGAGGGAGGGTGGGCAACCAGAAGCCACGTGACGGTGGGACACCGGCCTGGGGTCAAGGTCAAACAAAATCAAACAAAATGACCTCTGAGGCTCCTGTCCACTCTAAGACTCTCGGATCCTTCCTTAGTTACTTCTTGGTTAATTATTTCTTAATTAATAACAAAGCGATCACTGCAGCAACAGGCAAGCTAAGGAAATAAATGAGGCCAATCTGTTAACTGCACCCATGTAGCACACGATTGGCACGGGAGAGTCGCGTCTGCCCACTTGCTAGGGCCGCTTGATTTTCACAGCTCGCTGGTAGGAAGTAAACATGATGTCCCTGGGACTGAACAGTGTTCTCTCGGAGGCCCCGGCAGACCCGGGACGCGGCTTCCTCGAGTTCTTTCCTCGCCACATCTCAGGCCGGGCACCGCGGGCGCCCCATGCCCCCAGTACAACAGTTTTACCCTGGTTGTTGCTTCCTGTGAGCCCAGAATAGAAGATGCCATCTGTCACGTTTTGGATGTCGTATGTCCACCGATGACTCATGAATAGTTGGACCACCAAGAGGAAGGCGGGCGGGGAATCATCAGCCTTTCGAAGCACAGCCGAGCAGGACGTGGAGACAAGTAGGGGGCTCTCCAGCAGGACCTCTCCGCAGCCTGCCCCCTCTCCGCAGGCGGGAAGCCCAGAGGGGTCTCTTCGGCCCTGAAGGGCTCGCTCTTCACCGGCAGCATCGAGTGGCCCTCAGGACAGCGCGTGTCTGGAATGGGAGAACTTGTGGGAGCTGTTTGTGCAGGACGGGGGGTTGCCCTCTGCCAGCTGAGCCGAGGGGGCGGCCTCCTGGGGGGTGCCGCTGTCTGGGGGCCGGCCCCCCGACGTGCTGCTCTGGCCACACACCAGGCGCTTTTCGTCCAGGAGGGACAGGTGGTACTCACACAGGTCGATCAGTGAGGCCACCTGCTCGTGGAGAGGCAGCATCTTGAACTTCCTCTGAGCCAGGTAGAAGAAAGCCTCCACGAAGGCCTGCAAGCACATGCCTGTGGACGAAGAGAGCAGCGTTAGGGGGTGAGCACGCTGCCCTGGGACAGCCCGACTCCAGCCGCCAGGCTGCTTCCTCACCCACTGCTTCTGTTCTGGAAACTTCAGCTTCTGGGTTGAACGCCCAGAGTGCCTACCCGGAGCAGGCACCAGCTGGGCATTCACAACCATTTGCAGATTCAATCCCCTAATCAATGCTATGAGGCAGGCTTAATTCACACGGTTTGACAGATGAGGAAACTGAGTCTCAGAGAAGGGGAGCTAGCCGGGCCAAGTCCCGTGGGTGGAGAGTGGCGGAGCTGGGATTTCAACCCAGCCCGAAGCCTTATTCCTCTGCACCACCCTCAAATGTTTGCATTAAAACCCAGCCCCTAACTTTTGTAACACCGGAAAAAGCTACTGAGAGAAATCTGAAGGTTTTAGATCTTGATAGACGTGTTGGTTACATGGGTGTGTGCATTTGTCAAAACTTAGCAAATTGTACCTTGAGATTTGTGCATTTTGCTCTATGTAGATTTTACTTCAAAGAGTAAAATAAACCTGACCCCTTCTCTCTACCTGAAATGATATTCTAGAAGGTAATAGTAGTCCCCATTATGTCCCTGAAATGTTTTCCCTTACTTTGCCTAATAAGTTCCTACTCGTCCCTGGGATCCCAGCTCAAAATCTCCTGCTCAGTAAAACCTTCCCTGATCCCCACATTAGACGTGGCCCCTGGCCCGGGCTTCCTGCATTTTCCTTCGTAGCACTGACTGCGGCTTCTTCAGTGTTTGTGCGGTTGGTTCTTCAACAATCTCTATCTTCCCTGCTGGGCTGTGAGCTCCAGCTCGCCACTCTTCCCCCAGGGCCAGACACCCTGTGCTCAAGATAGAATGCTGAATACATGAGGGAGTGAATGGATCAACAGATGAGTTCGCGCTAGGTACTTTACAGACCTTGCCACTAATCCTCAGTGTTATTACATCCCACTTTACAAATGAGGAAACCAACATTCAGAGATGCTGAGTAACTTCCCTAAGGTCACACAGCCAGAAGAATAGTGGCCTGCAAATTCAAACTTTGACTCTCAATTCTTTTTTTTTTTTTTTTTTAAGATTTTTTATTTATTTGAGATAGAGAGCGCAAAGGGCAGGGAGGAACAGAGGGAGAAGGAGAAGCAGACTCCCCGCTGAGCAGGGAGCCCGATGTGGACTCGATCCTAGGACCCCGAGGAGATCAGGACCTGAGCTGAAGGCAGATACTTCACCAACGGAGCCAGCCAGGCGCGCCTGGACTCTCAATTATTTTAAATAATTTGTGCTGTGTGAAAAGTTGTGAGTCTCCCCAGTGTCAAAGTAAAAACGAACCCCGTGATTCAAAGTCATGGGATTCCGGAGCTCCTCAGGGAAGGTGACACTCAGTATTTTAAAGGAGGCCAACTTCACCCCTGCTGATCCATACCTTCCCAGTGGCCTTGCCTCCCAGCTCAGGAGCATTATTCCCCTACTGCTGTTCTTGGGGAGAAGCCTGGCCTGGAGTTTGTAAATCCTGGATTCTATATGGACCCTGGGATCTGAGAGCTCTTTTCCTGTTAGGAACTGGTGCTGAGCAAAGAAGTTGTTTCTTTGTCTCCTTCCAAGTCCATCAAAGCTTTTTTTGCTCAGCTTTTCTTGACTCCAGATGCTCTGCAAGTCCCCTGCTCTGTTTGGCCCTGATGGGGGAGCTGATAAAGGGAACAGTAACCCTGGTGTAAAACCCTTCTAACGTAAACAGAGGCCTGGTGTAGACAGAGACACAGGGCCAAGGGGGGGCTCTGTCTGCGTCAAGAGCCGCATATTTCTGGGGAGCCTGGGTGGCTCAGTTGGTGGGGCGTCTGACTCTCAATTTCGGCTTGGGTCGTGATCTCAGGGTGATGAGATTGAGCCCTGCATTGGGCTCTGCACTCAGCAGGGAGTCTGCTCGAGGGTCTCTCCCTCCTGTCCCTCCCCCCGTGCCCCTCCCCCCCACATGAGCACGTGTATGTGCATGCACGCTCCCTCTCTCTCAAATAAATAAATCTTTAAAAACGAGAGAGAGAGAGAGAGAGATGGATGTTTCCTAATCACCAACGATGGGCCGGGGCTCTCCTAGAGTGTGTGCATGGACGCATGCGCATGCATGCATGTGCATTTGTGCAGGCACGTGCATTTGTCACTGCCAGTGGGGGAGGCAGATCCCAGCAGGGTGGAAGAGGCCAGGATCCAAAGCCAGAGAAACCCAGTGCAGTCCCAGCCCCCAACTTCACAAGTGTGTGATCTTAACAGCGCTACTCCAAGTGTGGTCGGCAGGTGGGTGCCAAGTCCAGGAACTGGGTGTCCCTGGTGTCTGACAAGATAAGGAGCCTGGGCCAGAATAGAAATCACCCTCCTCATCAGTTGCATTGTTTCGTTCAGCTGCAGTATTTTGTAGCAAGTCTTTCTCTACAAAGGAAGTAGCAGGCGTTTACATTCTGGCTCAAGCCTCTTGCCCAGGACTAGAAGGAACAGTTCCCGGATTGCACTGCAGCTCTGAGCAGCTCCGGTCGAAGGCCCTTCTCAGCCTTAACGTGCATGATCTTGTCAAAATGCCGATTCTGGGGTGGCGCCTGAGACTCTGCATTCCTAAAAAGCTTCCTGGGTGATGCCCACGCTGGGGTAGCAAGCACTGAGCACCTTTTACTCAACAAATATTCACTTCCTTCCCTTAATTAAACTAATAAGGCTGTGATTTTCTGTAAGGCACAGAAAAAAAAAATACAAGGAACTTCATTGGGGAAAAAGTATTATGGCTAAGCCATCTGGAAGAAACGTTCTAAAATGAGAAATGAGATTTCAGGTGTTATACTTGGTTTTCGTTTTGCTTGTCTACATTTCCTGATTTTCTATAGTAAACACATACCTTATTTTATTTTTTATGTGGAATCTAAAAAAACCAAACCAAACAAAACCAACCAAACAAACGAATGAGCAAACAAAAAGCAGAATCAGACCTATAAATACAGAGAACGAACGGATGATTGCCGGGGCCTGGGGGTGGGGGGCGAAATGGGTGAAGGGGACGGAGAGATACAGGCTTCCCATTATGGAATCAATAGCTCATGTACCCAGTTTTAAAATATGCAGTGGGAAATTCTGGAGGACGGAAAGAGGTGGTGATGCAGGGGCAGCCACTTGTAATCGTGAACCCTCTGCTACTATTTGAATTTGAAGTTAGGTGCATGCATTACTTTGAAGAAAAGGCTGTGCAAACTTCCTGCATACATGTTCTACTTTAATAAAGGTTATATGCACGCAGGGGAAAGAGAAGCGGAAGGGAAGGGCAATATTGACCCTTGCAGGAGCCAGGCATGCTGTGCCAGGCACTCGGATCCCCACTACGAATCTCATCGTGCAGATGAGAAAACAGAGGCCCTGAGACAAAATAAGTTGCCCTCCGGTCACATGCTGGTAAGTGGCAGGGCTAAGATTTGAACCCAGGCCTCATGTACTGCTGATTCTGCATCTGATTCCTGCAATAAGGAATGGGCAAAGCGGGTAGGGCTTTGATGGGCAGAGATGAGCTGGGAGCAGTGGGCTGGGCCGGGAACAGGGAGGAGGGAGCAGGAGGTGGGGCATGTGGCGCAGGAATAACCCAGGATGCCTGTAGCAGGACACGTGGAGAAGGGCGCAGCTGGACGAGACTGGAAAGGGCTGGAAGGCCAGGGGACGTGAGAGCCGGGAGCGACTGCAGGTGCCTAGGCAAAAGGAGCCGAGAGCCAGTGTGCAATTCCACGCCCAGTACAGCCTGAGCACGTTCTCCAGTCATGGGGGGGAGGGCGGGGGTCTTATTTTGTTAGAGTGATAGAAACGTTGTGGGGTTTGCTTGTTTTATTCCTCAAATGAAATCTTGTGAGGGGGGGTGGTAGCTCAGAGCCCTGCCCTCACAGACCTTCCTCACCAGAAGCGACTCACCTAAGGGACTCTTGGCTCTTCACACCCAGCCAAGCACCAGCCCTCCCGCAGTTCCAAAAGCCTGGTCTAGCATCTTCATTTTACAGGAGAGGGGAGCAGTAGATGAGGCCCAAGTCACAGAGCCAGTGACTGGCAGGAGCGGGACTAGAACTCAGGTCTCCTGACCTCAAACAGCACCACCACCACCACCACCACCAAAATAAGAAAGAAAACCAGATACTTCTCAGGCCAGGGACTGGGGAAAAGGGCTGAGAGCCCCGCATTGTCTGCTCAACCCTACTGAGCGTGTCTGAGAGTCTGAAGGCCCGTGAGGGTTGGGAAGAGGGACGCCCCACACTATACACCACGAGTACGTGGGTCGCCGGCTCCCACCACGGCCATGTTGAGGGGCTGTATGTTTGAGTTTGACAAGACATCGTTCTTGCATCTCATTTCATCAAGTGGCCCAGGAAGTGGTGGCCGGACCCGGGTCAGTATTCACTGTGCTTGAGATAATGGAAAATGTTTAAGTCTCTGAGGGGCTGGGGGTGGGAGGAGGAGAGCGGGAGGAGGAAATGCACTCAAGATAATCCAAGTTGCCTTCCAGGGGGGCAGGACTGTCCTGCCTTTTCCAGATCCTCCACAGACAGTCCCCATGTTCTCTCTGGGTCTTTCTCCTTCCTTCTTACTATTTATTATAAAATATAGTGAAAATGCCAGCAGAAAGCATAGGAAAGCTCATGAATGTCCCCCCGCTAGAACCTAAGTGTCCTTGAAGACTGACCTTCTATCCTCTCTCTTTGTCCACAGAAGATGTGCTTTCACTTAATTGTAATGCACGTGCACAAAATTTTATACTTATTATGGCTTAAAATGATACCATAAACATTTTTGTATGTTGCTTTGCAGCTTCATAACATTATTTTAATAGTTGCATAATATTCCATCAACTCTTGCTTTGCATACCATTTCGCCATACCCCCCACCACTGGACGCTGAGACCGGTTATATTTTCTTCACTATTATTGAGAAGACGATCATAAGCACATGGTACGCCACTGTTTTTATTTCTG